CAATAACGATGAGGAACATACCCTCAAGAAATTAGAGGCTGTGAGTAATATAACCAGTGGCCTTTCTAAGATAACAGCTGAACTGAAAGCAGCAGTTTCAATGACTCAGTTATGAGAAATAAGGAATGCAGATCACCTGACCCCCTGGCCCCAACGTCATGTAGCACATCTCCAACAATACCAGCCTTGAAAACCAGTTTCAAGTCAAGTTAAAAAGCACATAAGTCAGCACTGAGAGTGTCTGCTCCATGGGACTTGTCTGTTCCAAACTTTACACACACAGAACTTTAATGCACAGGTTCCCCACTGGTGTTACAGGAGCCTTGGTAGAGACCTTAAGAGAATCTGTCCATCAATGTCTGTTTCAGATCTTACAAGGTAGAGGTGATTATTATCTCAGCTTAACAGACAAAGAAAGTGAGACATCTATCATGGGTTTTCTCATCAAGAGCCATGGATTCAGTGGATTTGAACCTTAACTTTCTGATCTATACAATGGAGATAAAATCTATGCTATGCAAGTTATATAGAAATCAATCAGTTCTTTTATGTGAATAGTCACACATCAAATCAGGTAGACACTAGGTGGTCAAAAAATAACTTCTTCTTTTTATTGGCCCTAAGTTACTTTTCAGGAAAATGACAGAGCCAGGTGTTCCAAGAGCCAGTCCAGGAATTATTCAGTGCATTTATTCCTGCCTGGTCTGAGTCCTCTCAAAGCCACTGTGGAAAGGACTTCAGACTCTCATATGGAAATTCAGAGATTCACCTTTCATGACAGACAATCTTGCAGAATTAATTTGCAGCATTGCTGAGGTGAGGTAGTGGTGGATGTGAGTGATTTTTTTTTATAATGTTACAATAATTTATCATCTTCTCTTCAGCAGCCGTACTCTGGCTGGCAGCTCTAAAAACCCTACAGTCGACGAGAGAGCAGTGAACAGAAATATTTTCAAGAGCAGATGGGACGTACCTTCAAAACGCAGGATTGTCCCACTGAAACTGGGACATCTGGCAACCCTAAAAAAGCCCAAACTAGATGAAATAAAAATTATGAGATGGAGAAGCAGAAAAATATGTCTTTGCATTGATTAGCGGGGAATGTAATTAATCTCCTTCAACTCCCTTTTCAGTCCTGCGGTGTAAAACAAGGAGAAATCGCAGTCTTCTCTGGGTTCCCCTGTGACAATTCTTACGTGATAATTTCAAAGTAGTGTGAGTTTTAAAACTTCATAGTAACGCCTCTCCTTCTATTGCCTAGCACTGCCCAGGGAGCAATCAAATTCACACCTAGACTTCCTCAGTACAATGCTCTTATTAGCCTGCCCAACACTGAAGGAGAAGCTTCAGCTGACTACAGTCAAGCCTGATTTTACAGTTTTATTAGGAAATTGCAGAGAGAAATTTTCGTTTTTTGTTAAGTGGTTTCATTTCTCCCCCACCCCAGAACCAAATGCATGCAAAGCATGCAGTTTGCTACTAAGCTGCACTCACAGGCTCTTGTTTCTCATTTGTAGGGTTAAAAATCAGCTGGGAAAGAGCAAAACAGCCCCAAGGGAAGGGGAAGGAGAGAAGACCCCCACACACACCCCGTCTTTCCTTCCACCTCTGGTCTTAGCTCCCAGAGCCCTGTCACGCTCTTCTTATCAAAGCCCGCCTCTCATTTCAGCTCTCAGGCTGGTGCTAGTGTGACTATAGACTTTCCTCTTCTTCCCCTGCCCCGGTCAGGCCCGGCACAGGACCCAAAACACTCTGACAGAAAAGTGAGACACTAGGGGCTAGGAACAGACTGGGGCCTCACAATGCCCAGTAGCTGCAGTTTGTCTGAAAACAACATTAGGGCTCAGCACCTGAGTTCAGGTTGCCATCTACTAGTGCACAGGTCATAAAACAGGGTCAAACTAAAATCTAAGAAATCAACCCCTATGAAGTCAAATATTCACTCTTTATGAAGGCATTTAAAAAATATGAATTTTCGCTGAATTTGAGTTTATTTTCCCCATTGTGCTCTTGTGCCCACTTCTTTGATTAGAGAAGGGCTATGAACTGAATTGTGCCCTCTGTTCTCTCCAAATTCATGTTGATGCCCTTGCTCCCCTATGTCATGGCATTTAGAGCTGGGCCCTTTGGCGGTGAATGGGGCTAGATTAGGTCATGGTGGGGCGTGTGGAATGGGAGGCTTCCCCCTCTTCCTCCTTCTTCTTCCTCTTCCTCTCCTCTCCTCTCCCCTCCCTTCCTCTTCTCTTTCTCTTCCCAACCCCTCATTCATGTACCCACATGGGAGGACACAGGTGGTCACCTGCAAGTCAGGAAGCAAGCCCTCAGCTACAAACCAGCAGACTGGCTCCTTGACTTCAGACTTCAATTCTAGCATTAGGAAACAATTTTCTTTTGCTTAAAAGGCCCAGTATATATTTTTTTATGGCAGCACGAGTTGGCCAACACAAGAAACACTATGCTCAAGGATACTTGGCTATAGTGATGATAAAAGCTAAAATAAGAACCCCCCCGCTTTTCTTGTAATACAGGGGATAGAGCAAAGAGCCTTTGCTGAGCTGCTTCTTTAGCCTTTTAAGAATTATACATTTTTACTTTGATAAGTGTCTCTCTAACTTGCTAAATTGCCCAGGATGACCCAGAACTTACAGTTCTCTTGCCTTGGCCTCCCAGAATCCTGTGAATAAAAGTATCTGCCACCTCATCCAGCCAAGAACCCCCTTTTCTGACTCCAATCTCAGGTAGATTTCTACTACAGCATATGGTCAGCGCCAGGATCATGGCCGATGGTTTGTGACTGTGTAAACCTCACTGCACATAAGCAACTCTCTCATCCCTGGGTTGTTTCCTGGGCCAAAACCACCAATGTTCAGAGTGAACGAGAGAAAACTTTCATTAGCTCATCCTCTGTAAGCTGTGAGGGCAAGCAGCCTGTCTTCCTCAGTCTCAGTTTCTTTATGTGAATATTGGGCACTTGGGAGAATTAAAATGGCTGATAAATTCAAAAGAGATTTATGAGCTGTTAAGTACCTCACAACAACAAATAGAGCATACATTTTAGTCAGAGGCCCCTCACAGGTGTGATAGCCTATTTTCTCACTGCGCACATAAGAAAAGTGATAATAAACAGTGATCTTTGAAGATGAATGCTACCAGTGTTACCTTTGCTTCAGTCCTAAGGGAACAACTCTGAGGCTGTGCTCGTTTGCACATCTATGAGAGAAGTCAGGACCTGGCTCCTCAACAAGCTCAGAAGGCATCAGATCCAGGACTTAGAACACTTTCAGGGCCCATCACAAGTTCCTTTTTCACATCAGGAGAGAAAAAAATGAACCTGTAGGTCAAATAAACTATTTTAGTATATAACATTAATATGTGCATCTTTATACCAATGCGGTTATAAAATTCAATTTTTAATACATGTACGGGGACTGGCTCCACAAAGGCAGGAGTGCCCAAGCAGAGCCCATGGAAGTCATCCCGCGGGCCTGAGAGAGAGCAGTGCCATGGAGAGAAAGTACTGTTCACATCCAGGGAAAATAGCCTCCTTTCTCGGGTTAATGTTGCTGTCACCACAGCCAGGCTCAACTGCCTGGAGTTTTGAATGTGCCACCATCTTTCCAGAGTTCTCCGGCTACACTCTGTCTACACCCTCTTTTCCCCTCAGCCAACACTGAGCTGCCACCCACCTCTGGGTCTGTGTTGTGTATGTCACAGCTGTCTGTCCCTTGGTTTTACCCTCTCTGTTGGTGCCCTCGATGCCCCATCAATCAGCTGTGTGCGATGCCATGAAGCTTTGGGGCTCCATGTCACCATGCAGCAGCTGCTTAGTCAGTTAGTGCCTTTCCCTCAGTTTCTTCATCTGTAGAAGGAGAGCGTTGGTAGCATTTACCTCACAGGATCCATGTGGAAATGCTTTGAAAATACACATCCACACACCGACTAGAAACACCATTGTGGTAGGTAGGATGCTTATTTATTTTAACCCAATTAATATCATTTTTATACATCAAATTCAGAACCCAAAGATACAGTGAACTGCTAAAGAAACTCAGAGTTGAATGAGAAACAGCACGCACAGAAGATAAGTGAAAGCCTGTTTTCAGAACCTAGACTCTCCTCTGCCAGGCAGAATCAAGACAGGCATTTTCAAGGTCACTACATAACACTAGACCTTGGGAGAAAGCAGGAGTCCTCACTCTGACAAGAAGGCTGTTTTTCCAAGAGGGATTTGCAGACTTAACCCCAAATAGTAGTTATGTTTGGAGATTGTTGAGGGTATTAATAGAGCCAGACACAGGCCCCTTCCGAGGAGAGGAGGTGGAACAGAGAGAGCTGAGTTCCACTTGGGAGCTTGGCCCTTTTCTTACAAGCTTTTGGGAACTAGAGAGTGATCCACTTAAATGTACGCTGCAGGAAAATCACAGAGGTGCAGGATAGGGAAGTGGGAGAGGTAATAGGCTCTCTCCTTAGTCCAGAAGTTCTGTTGTTTGGTCCAGTTTTAACAAGAACGGTGTTGGGCATACCCAGTCTTGTATCCCACCACTCTTGTTATCTGATTAAATCTTTTATCCTCCACCCTCAATATCTTATCATGCTCACCTTTCTTCAGCAACAACCCTGTCCAGTCAGTTGAGCCAGAATCCCCTTTTTCCTGAGTGCCACCTTTTATAGGAAGTTCCTATCCACTGACCCCTATGCTGTTCTTCAGTTGCGAAACTTCTCTTTTCCTCAGATACTAAGATCAGACTGTCTCCAGCTTCGAGATCCCATCACAGCTGTCTCTTACCTATCCTACAACTTCAGCAAGTGTCCCACATAGCATTTTCTTTAACAACAGCCAGAAAACTATTGTGAACATAAGCGCAGAAGTCTAGGGCTTACAAGGCAGGCCACTGAACCGCTGAGCTAAATCCCCAGCCCAAGACTTACTTCTTCTTAAGGCCCTAACCATCCTAAGTTTCTTTCTTTATTCCCTTCCAATCACATTCCTTAGACCTGTGTCCAACCCTTTAGTCCTTCACTTTCAGATGGACAGTAACGCCTTACAATAATCCAGTGAGATAGAGATAAGGACCCCGCCACTCTGTTACAGCTAAAGATTGCCAGCATTCAGTGTCTTGTTCAAACTGTAGGAATGATAAAGCACAACAGGATCGCAAGTCCATGGCTCTGTAGATGCCTCTTGTGGGAAGTCTATGATCTTTGAATAATCATCCTTCAGCGGATCTTGGGAGGAGAAAGCAAAATGATTGTTATTTGCTTTTCCAAAAGAGCCGAATGCACAGGCTGTTTCAGGTGGAATACACAACATTAATGGAGAGAATATTCGGGTCAAGTAGTTCTCAGCTCTACCACTTAGCACATGTGTGACCTCAGGAAAACCTCTGTACCTCTCTCCTGACCTGTCTTCACTTTTGCAGAATGAGGATAACAATCCTGTCATTTCTACTTTATGAATTGTTGGGAGAATTGAATGTTGAAAGAATCAAATAATCAAGTGGATGAAAAAGCTTAGAGGACTTGAAAGTCGCTCATAACATAAGAGGTCTTCCTTTTGCACTCTAAAAATGGTCAATAATAAAATTAGTGCCATCTCGGGGCTCTGAAGATTGAGTCATAGTGTCCATTATGTATTCATTTAGATTGTAAATTAATTTTACCTGAGAGGCATAATGCATGTTTGATATGCACTTCACAAACTTTCTTTAGTCAGCGAGGCTCAGTGTCTTATAGTCTACTCTGGCCATTGTCATTACCTCACTAAACAATACTTTGAGAGTTCTGAACACCAAGGATAGAAGGGATACCTGCCAGGGGATCCTTTGGTCCATGATTCCTACTAATTGGTTCCTTTGTGCAGTTGTATGAGTGGGGAAAAGGACAAGGCTCTTGGATCTGCGACGTCTGAACTGACTCCTGCCAAGTGGCAGGGACAATTTTAGTGCTGCTGAGAATCTGACTGCTGTTTCCACCCACTCCCGCCTTCCCCTTCCTCCTGTCCTTGGGCTCGCAGATGCTGCCTGCCTTCTGCTCTCTCCTTCACCAGCCTCTTGCATATCCATGCCTCCTTGCACTGCTTTCCTCACTCCAGATTCTCATTACTGAGTTATCCTCTGTGTCCCTCCCTCCCATTATACACATAGTCTTAGGTTGCTTGGTTTCCCCCTGCAGACCTGTGCTGTGTCTTTTGTCACCCAAGGGATCAGAGGGGATTCATTCTCCTCTTGAACCCTTTCAATGTGAGCGATAAGAACCCTTTCCTTCATTGTAACCTGCACCTTCATTTTCCTTTCCATCTTTCCCCCGGGTCACTGCATCCTTTGATTAACTGGGCACCACCTCCAGGTGTTCCCACCTCCAGCACCCCCACTCACTAGACTGCACTCAGAGCTCTATGGTTTTCTAGGATTGATTTATTTCTGAGAGGTACCTAAGTGTGGGTTCCATACGATCATTGCATTCTATGGAAACAGCGCCCCCTGGTGGTAGGAGCATAGCGGCCTACCATGTGTAGCTCCTGTGGTATACCTTTTGGGTCGGTTTTCACTTTTCTTTTTTGTCTCTCACTTGCTGCTGTATTCATCTGAACAGCGTGTCCATCTGTCTTAACCGCTTTCTCATAGCTGTGACACAATACCCAGACCCTGCAATTAAAAGAAGGTGTTTTTTTGGCTCACATTTCAGTCCAGAATCCCCTAGCTCCATTGCAGGATGGCTTGGCACAAGGGTATGGCAGAGGAGTGTTGCTCAAGGCATGGCTGACAGGAAGATGAGCAAAGTCAAGGAAGGAGCCAAGGAAGAAGATGGACCCTTCCAGATCATGCCCACAGTGACCCATCTCTTCCATCCAGACCCCACCTCCTAATAGCAAGTCAGATATAAACCCCCTAATTCAACCACTTTCCAAAAGTTCCACCTAAGAGCTCGCACAGCTCTTGGAAACATCTAGATAAAACCCTTGATGCTATTTGCTCATTCATTCCGTGAATACTATTGAGGCCCTACAATGGGCAAAGTGCATTCATAGATGCTGGGAGAATAATGAATGAATCTGACATGGTACTTACTCTAAAAAGCTTACAATCTCTTAGAAAGTCCAGAAGGAACAATGAAACCAAAAAGCAAACATGCCAATTACAAACTGGCAAGAGACCTTAAGAATTAGTGCAAAATGCTCTGATAAAGAGTAAGAGCACGGGGCTTGCTTACATAGGATGCCCGGTGAAGCTTCTCTGAGGACACATCCCTGAAGGATGACAAGGTCTCCACTAAGCAAATGGCAAGGGAAGAACTTCAGGAAGCTGAATGAGTAAATGCACCAAAGCCTTGATGGGAAAAAGTCTCCTGTGCTCCAGTACATGAAAGGAAAACAAGTGTCCTGGACAGAGGGGACACCCGGAACAAGGGTGGCGAGGTTGCTTCCAAATCACCAACATCTACAGGCCCTCTGCACCCCGCTCTAAGTGCAATGAAAAGTCTTTCCCCCGTGTTAAATCTTGTGCCCCACCTTTGAGTTGTGTGTATTTTGGGACATTAAGTGGGATTAGCACAAGCAACTCAAACAGTCAAGCGTCCTTTAGCAGCTGTGTTCAATTCTGCTGTGCACTTCCACTACCCTCCTCCAAGACTGTGTCTCCCCACACCCAGCTTACTTTGTACACTGTTCTCCTGTCTCTGGGGAACTGAAATTAGGCTGTCATGGTCAGTGAGGAGTCTATGGTCAAACAAGAGAAATTGTGGGACTTGAGCTGAACTCAACACACAGCTTCCCTGAAGTTTATTCCCGCAGGCACCAACAGGAATGATTGTGTCCCTTTTGTAAGTGAACTCTGACTGCCTGTGGCTACATTCTATGCCTAGAAGCAGTGATGTGTGCTCCAGGAAAGAGTGAAAAAAAAAACAAAAAACAGGCAGGATGACCCAAGGATAGGATAGGGCTGATGCTAGAACACAGGTCTCAGACCCTGACCCTTTCATGCTGCCCTGGTTCCTTCATTCTGTGCAATACCACAGAAGCCTTCCAATAAGTCCCTGACACGTCTTGATTTCTTTAAGTTAGCTTGAGTTCAACTTTTGTGACTTATAACTAGGAACACATTATAAATGCAGATTCCCAGTTTCTCACAACCCAAAAGCCCATGCTTTTTACCTCCCTGAAAGAAATGCGTTTTAACTATAACGAGGGAAAGTCTGTGTTTCCAAGCAGGTTTGTCAGAAGCTTTCTACCATCGGATAACAGAATTTCACCATCTCTCAATTTTTTGAGGTTCCCTTTATCAGAGCAGCCGTTAAGGAATTGAAAGATCATAAGTCAGAATGTATGATGTCCCTAATATAGGACTACTGTACCATCTATTCACAGATATACAAATGTACATTTGTCCTCATATACACAAAAACATACTGGGGTGAGCTCCTAGGGACATGAGGGACAATCTTTTCAATTGTTGCTTTTATGACTAAATGGTAGAAATAGCATTTTCATCAATGTTTTATAAATGAAAGGCCTTTTGCTTAGGCTCGAGGTCAGTTTAGAGTTCTTTAAAACCATCTGGAGCACAATTTCCTTTCTTTTTAACAATTTCTTTGAGCTATTTTTCTCTAAGCTCAATTGTAGTAGAAAAAAAAAAAAGCCCCTAGAAACCAAGCCAAAAATCGGTGTGAATCCTGACAGCAGGCTCCAAAATGCCAAGTGGGAGAGAAAGAAATGGAAACACTGACTTTTTCCAAAGCCATATAACAATTCATCCTTCAGCAGATAGCCATGTGGTCTGAGGCATCTGAGCCTTGAGAGGCTGGCCCAGACCAGCAGGAGCAGTTTGTCTCTATGGCTGCAAGTTATCTTGTGCCCATCTATCCATCTACTTCTACTACTCTGAATCTGGTGACCTTTAGGTTTCGCTGCAAAATCCAGATGTTCAATCTGGCTTGTAACCCCCAAAGGACTAACTATCGGAAATATTGCAGAGGTACACGTAGATATTTTAAGCTGCAGATGATAAGTTAATGAGGAAAATGGCTTGTGAGCATGTTGGGAGGAATGATCTACTGCTAGATATTGGATTTTCTGGGTTTATTCTACTTTTGTGAATAAATGCTCCTGTTAATCCTAGATCTGCATTATATTGCTCATGAAGACAGCCTTATAAATGGGAAGGTTTTCCAGTTTAATAAAACCACTTATACAAAAATATTAACTTCCAAGTATATTTAGTATACACTAGTTATGTGAATTTCAAAATGCCTACTGATAACTTTTTCCTGTATAGGTCTTATGAACAGCAAGTTTATCCAGATCCTTTAAAATGTGTTAAGGGTGCCACATGCATATTAGGAGAAAAGAAAAGTCTGAGTTAGGTACGAATGCATATGTGCTGAAATAAGTGTTGGCTTGGGAGGTCGGTCACACAGCCTCCCTTTCACAGGATTGACAGTTGGCTTGGTCACTTTCAGTCTTGGGGAAAGGAGTTTCTGCACCTCTGAAGGTCCATGTGACTCTGACTGAATATGAGGTTCTGTGAGAGGCCACTGTGGCTGAGAAGTTGGCTCCCAGATTCTCTTTACCACCTGCCCACTGAGTAATGCCCCTCCTGGGAAGGAGCTTACCCTGGGAGCCAGAGCTCATGCCTGGGGTTAGGCTTTAGTGTCCGCCACCCATATCACCTCTGGTAAGTCATTTTACTTCTCTGGTCCTTTATTTATGAAAGGAGAATAATACTTGCCTAAACTCTGTCATCAGGAGATTTAAATCAGATAATACACGTAAAAGTGCTTCCTGTCTTACATAGGTTAGTGATCATTCTCTATAAAATAATGAACTCAAACTATGTTGGCAGAAATAACCTTCGCTTCTTACCCCTGGTTGAACTACCAAATTTTCCCATTCTAAAGAGCTCACGCCTGCATGTCAGTCAGGTGGTGGAAGCACATTCTTTAATGATATTTCCTCAAGGACTCTGTGTCCCCAGTTGGGATGGCTCTTCTGTGATGCAGCATGGCAAAAACCCAAGGCTGCCTATTTTGTATTTGCATCTGGTGGTCAGGTCTCTGCCATTCTCCTCACATTCTTATCATCTCATTAAAAGGGGCGTTCCTATGTTGCTAGGACACTACTGGCCTCACACTCATGGAGGAGACATGGCGCTGAGGACAAGATTAGCAATCTCTAGTACTTGCCTAAGGTACTACAGGGGTGGAAAGTATCTGTGTGGTCACCGTATCGTAATCCTGACACTGTCTCTTGAGAGAAATGCTATTTTCTAGCGTCTTAAATGAGAAAATCTAGGCCCAAAGAGGTTAGATGAGTTTCCCTGAGGGCTTGATTTCAAAGCACTCCCCCGAGAGCAGATTCCTGTGTCGATCTCACCAAAAAGAAAGTGGAACACTCTGGGCAGAGCCGTCATTGACAGGGAAGATCCGTCGCTGGGAAGCATGGGTAGGAAAGGGCCTGGGTTCATAATTTAGCATCTGTTTGTAGATCACACAGCTTGTTAAATAATAATCACTCCGATTTTGGACTTAGGCTTAAATTTAAGGCCTACGCCTGGAACACATTTGCTTTTGATTGTAGACAAGTCCTTCCCTTGAGTCATCCTTTCCTCTACTCCTAATGGTATTGTTAGTATACATCTTTCCACACTGTCCGGAGCATCAAACATTACAGAGCTTGTGAAGGTATTGGCAGTAGGCTCTCAGTGAAGGCTGGGTCACCTCCCCTTTTCCCTACTTGCATACTCAGTTTTTGTAAACCAGCCAGGCAGCTCTCTGTCTCCTCTCAAGCAGGCTGGGAGGTAGCCAGCTTTCTGATCTTAACACTGAACGTGTCCAGCTCTCCAGGCTTGAATCCGCCCCTGTTCACTCAGTATCAGTCCTACAGCCTTTAAAAATACTATTGAGGTTTTTAAGGGGAGTAGAATTGGTGCCTAGAGGCAAAAGATAAGGGAGTTCAACTCCACCCTCTCAGAGGAGTTAAAGATAAATCTTTGTTAGCCTTGCACAGTGGGCCTGGCAAGGGCTGTACTCAGATCACCATGCTGTTGTCGAAAACAGTGGTGACCATTTACATTTGCAATAACCTGTTATAGTTAAAGATACACTGATATTGATCTCCTTCAAAGTATTCTCCCTCGCTCAACCATACTTATCCCGTCTCTCTCGCCACCTTCTGAAGCAGTTCTGGAAGTCCTTTTTCATGTCTTCTCCTGTGCTGTGCTTGCCACATAGATGTCCTGGATCAATTTGTCATGTTTACCTTTCATGGTCATTTTGACTTTGGAGAAGAACCAGAAGTCACACGTCGCCAGATCCAGTAAATGAGGTGGATGAAGATGTACCTTAGTGTTTTAGGAGCCTGCATTTCTGTTGGATGGCGATCAGCAGCAGTCACTCCAGTTTTTGATCATATCTTACACAGATACTTAAGAAACAGGACTTCCAGAACTGCTTCAGAAAGTGGGAGGTACAATGGGATGAGTGTGTCAGAAGCCAGGGGCAATATTCCGAGGGGGATTAATGGCAAAGTGTCTTTACTGTAACAACAATTTTAAATTTATTTATTTGGTACCGGGAATTAAACTCAGGTCCTTATCTTACAAGGCAGGTGCTGGAATATCACTGAGCCAAATCCCCAGCCCAACAATTTTAA